GAGGCACTTAAAATTTTTCAGGGTCAGAAATCTAATTAACCTCAGCAACTCTGCTTAAAATGTTGAATAATATAAGACAAGTCCTTACAGGAATCTTTGGTAATATTCAGTCTTGGTGATATATTTACAATTATTTTTTAAAAAACTGACCCTCAATGTCTATTTTCAAAAGACATAAGGGAATGGAAAGCAGATTGAGAAACAAGTCACTTGTGAGGTCTCATCCAATACATTTCAGTAAATTTTTGCTGGATGTAAGCAGCTGAATTTGTAAACTATTTCATTACCTTACATTTTATAGAGAAAATTAAGAGTAAGTTCACAGTAAATGAACCTCTCATCTGAAAATAGCTCTTTCTTCTCATTTAAACCTAAAATCAGAAGGATACAACTGAAATGTGTTCAACCCAACACATTTTGAGATAAATACATTTCACAACTGTCTTATTGGTGGATTTGCTTAGCAAGATTTGAGCATTTGTTATCCTCTGATGAATTCAGAGGAGTTTTTCAGAGGATAACATTGCATGTTTGCAATAAGTTTGCATGTTTGCATGTTGCGTGTGATAAGTTCGCATGCTCACAATAAGTTTGCATGTCCTTTGGTGCTATCTTTTATTTTTCTGTTAGGGATTCTAGTTTGCAGTAGAACAATTTCCTCCTGCAGCCTCATTCAAAGTACCATCAGGATTCAACCTGTTTCGCTCCATGAGACTGTTTGTTTTGCTCCTAACTTATCAGAATAAGAGCTCACGAGATCAGCAGCTGATGGAAATTTTCAGAACAGGAGCTGCTGGCACCTGTGCAGAAAGCACAGAAAATATGAACAGTTGGTGGGCAAGGTTCTTGGGCAGAGTAAAGGGCACAGAGCAGGCAATGGGAGGAGGCCACTCCAGGCAACTCACCTGGGAAGGTTGGTGACAGGTGGGAGGAATTGGCACAGCAGGTAGGTAGGTGGTGGGCAGGCAGGTAGGTGGGCACCTTGCCCATTAAGAGCTGGAAACCTTGGCCAGACTCAGTGGCTCATGCCTGTAATTCCAGCACTCTGGGAGGCAGAGATGGGTGGATCACCTGAGGTCAGGAGTTTGAGACCAGCCTGGCCAACATGGTGAACCCCATCTCTACTAAAAATACAAAAAAATTAGCCAGGTGTCGTGGTGGGCACCTGCAATCCCAGCTACTTGGGCAGCTGAGGCAGAAGAATCGCTTCAACCTGGGAGGCAGAGATTGGAGTGAGCTGAGATTGTACCATTGCACTCCAACCTGGGCAACCAGAGTGAAATTCCATCTCAACATTAAATAAATAAATAAATAAATAAATAGCTGGAAACCTTGAGGGGAGACAAGACTGAGAAGGGAGAGCCCAGGGCAGCTGTTAATGTCCAGTGGGCTGACTGGGTGAGAAGTGAGGAAGTGGAGGCCGGAGCCCAGGGAAAGAGGGGAGGGGAAGTGCTGATCCTGGGGCCATCAGGCACCAGGCCCGTATTAGTTTCTGTGGCTCCTGTAACAAATGACCACAAGTTCAGTGACATCAAACAGTGCGGATTTAGTATCTTACAGTTCCAGAAATGGGAAGTGGGAAATGGGCATCCCTGGCTAGAATCAAGGTTTTGTCAGGGCTATGACCCTCTTGGAGGCCCTTGAGGAGAATCCATTTCCTGGCTCTGAGGGGCTGCCCACATTCCTTGGCTCACAACCCCACCCTCCATTCCTAAAGCCTGCAACCCTGGGAAGAGACCTGCTGCTGCCATCTTCCACTTATAAGGACCCGTGACCACACTGGTCACCCCCAGACAGTCCAGGATATGCTCCTCATCTCCAAAATCAGCTTAACAAACAGAAACCCTCCTGTAACCCTAAGCCCTCTGCTACATGTATAGTGACGTAGCCACAAGATGTGGGTGTTAGGCTCTAGGTATCTTTGGAGCCATTATTCCATCTTCTATACAGCAGTGCAGAACAAAGGCTTATTACGTATAGGGAATTTGCAAGATCTGGTACCAAACAGGATGTGGCTGGAGGCGCTATCGACCCTTGGTTCTGCTGTGTCACACACCACCTGCAAATCTAGTGTCATGAAACAACTGTTTTGTTATGTGCACAGAATCTCTGGGTCAAGAATTCAGCCAGAGTGTGGCAGGGACACTGTTTCTGCTCCATGAGATCTGAGGCCTCAGCTGGGAAGATTCACACATCGGGGGGGGGCTCCACGGCTGGGGACTGGAGACGTCTGAAGTCACCTTGTCTGTGTGTCTGGTAGTGGATGCTGGCTATTGCCTGGGACCTTGATGGGAATTTCTGGCTCACAGTTGGGACAGCTACAGCCAGACTCTCCACCTGGCCTTGGTGTCCTCACAATATGGCCGCTTCTGGGACGTGGAGCTTCTGGTGCGGTAGCTGAGGGCTCCAAAGGCCTCCAGTCACGGAGGTGGAGTCTGCATTGCCTCAGAGGTGATACCACAGCATTTCTGCCACATTCTGTTGGTTTTAAGAAAGCTACCATCCCCTCCACCTCCCTAATTCACAGCGAGGAATATTAGATTTCATCTCCTAATGAAGGAGTGGCATGGACTGAGAAGAACCTGCCGCATGGGAGACACTGAGGCATCCGTCTTTGGAAAAACAATCCGCCACATTCTTTTAGGATCCCGGCAAGGCCAGTCCTCAGCAGGAATGCAGTGGTGGTTTCCAGCTCAACCCTTACTCTAGGGTTACCAGATGTAGCAAGGAAAACTACAGAACATCCGGTTAAATTTGAATTTCATATGAACAATGATTTAAGGTATAATTATGCCCATGCAATATTTGGGATATACTTATGCTAAGAAGTTTGTTGTTTATCTGACATTCAATTTTCACTGGGCATTTTTACATTGTATCAGGCAACCCTAATCCATGAAGAACGCCCATTTAAAAACATGTTGATCATCATCGCTGAGCAGGAGGGAGGAGAAAGAGTAACAAGAAGGCAGCTTTTAAGAGGAAACCCAGCCAGACACAGTGGCTCACCCCTGTAATCCCAGCACTTTGGGAGGGTGAGGCAGGCCGATCACGAGGTCAGGAGATGGAGACCATCCTGGCTAACACGGTGAAACCCCGTCTCTACGAAAAAAAAATACAAAAAAATTAGCCGGGCGTGGTGGCGGGTGCCTGTAGTCCCAGCTCCTCCGGAGGCTGAGGCAGGAGAATGGCGTGAACCCGGGAGGCGGAGCTTGCAGTGAGCTGAGATCCAAGATCACGCCACTGCACTCCAGCCTGGGCGACAGAGCAAGACTCTGTCTCAAAAAAAAAAAGAGGAAACCCTTGCAGAGGGAGGCCAAAAGACCCAGACCCAACTTGTTTATTTATTTCTTGGCCCACTTCCTCAGAGCCAATGTGATTCATTTCCAGTTTCCACAGTCTGTAAAAATACCTCCCAGCCTGCTGGTAATCAATGGGAAGTGTAGAACCCATTCTTCTGATGAGCTTTCAATTAGCCTGTGTCTAATTTTCAAATGCTCATGAATAAATGATTAACTCGGATCAGAAACAAAAATCAAAGACCTCACCTGCTTATAAACAGAACGGTTTGAGGGATTACCTCATCATCATTTCCATAGACTGCACCATCATTGCCTTCCTTATGACCCAGAAAACAAGAATCGTCAGCCTTGACTGAGCATATTCTCTGGCAGACAACATCGTGGGTTCCTTAGTCTCTTGAAAAACTCACTGGCTAGTTTTTATCATTTTCTGAACCACACAAACCAGCAGATGGGTGGGTGACCAGCCCAAGGTCCCACAGCCAGAAAGCAGCAGAGCTGGAAGGATTCAGCCTGGGTCTCCCAGCCCAGGTACTTGGATCTTCCACAGGAATCACTTTTGTCCCTACATTTCTTCAAGAGCATAGCCTTTTTGCCTTGTGAGGTCAGAAAAGTGAACTAGTGTGCACGAGCACCGGGGTACATAGGTCCCTCTGGCTGCTACAGTAGCGTGAATATTGTCCCCCCAAGTGTGTCTGAGTCCTAATCCCTGGTAACCCTGAACGTGGCCTTGTTTTGGAAATGGGACCTTTGAAGCTGTCATCAAGGACCTCCAGATGAGATCATCCTGGATTTAGAGTGAGACGTCATCTCTTTCGGGCTTTAGGTCTCTTTGCTGTCTTTATAGGAGAAAGGAGGGGATGTTTAGAGGCACGGACAGAGAAGAAAGCCATGTGAATACGGAGGCATACTGGAGTGATATTTCTACAGGTCAAGGAATGCCAAGGTTTGCCGGCAGCCACCAGCACCCAGGAATGAGCCGTGGAAGGGATGTCCCCTGAAAGCCCCCAGAAGGAACCAACCCTGGTTTCGGATTCCTGGCCCCCAGAACTGCAAGACCATGGATTTCTGTTGTTGTTAAGCCATCGGCTTGTGGCCCTTTGTCCTGGTAGCCACAGGAACATGAAGGTTGTCTCTCTCTCAGGCCTGCCAGCTGCTCTGCTCCATCCCTGTGATCCCCAAAACCAAAGCCCCCGTGTTTCTTTTCACCACAGAAAAAAACACTGCTTTAGCTTCTCCTCCTTGTATGTGAGATGCAAATGGTGATTTGTGATTCTGTGTGTGCCTCTGCCTGCCCACCTGGTGCTGGAGAAAAGACAAATCATGTCATCAACACCCCTACTGGGGTCTTCAGAGGGAAATTTAGAGTAACTGAAGCCTTTGTGCTTTTCTTAGTCACATAATAAAAATTACAGTTTTTATAACTCGAGTGACTAAAGCACTTAAATCACCTCCAGGAGTGAGCCGGCCAGCCACTTGTCGGCGTGGCTCCTGAGAGAAAGCTGAAGGGGGCATATGTCTGGAAGCATGAGAAATCATTTGCTAAGTAAGAAGCTCACTGAGTTTAAATCAAAACTCAGCACCTCTGATTTTACGCAAACTTTTAAAAGTCTTACAGTTCCTGTTTTCCTGTGTGCAAATACCCCTAGGAAAGGGTAGAAGCAGAACTGAATTTTTGCTGGTTTGCTTCTTTCTCAG